ACTCTCTACACTAAGGCAATATGTAATATGTTTCCCTTTTTGAAGGAACAATTCAGTAAAGTCTCAATTTCTCTATAAATTAAGATAAAACCTATAGATACCCGAAATCACCAAAGTGTGAAAAGCTAAATTGAAAATATTTTATCTTCAATAATGCCAAATATCTGTATTTTAAAAATTTATCAATATTTAATGAGGTAATTGGCATATCTTATTCTTGTTTGTATCCACTTATTAACACTAATGAAACTAGTAAGTCAGTGCATTCTCATTGGTTCATTCCATTACCAGGATATAATCATCTGTGAGGCAGTCATTTTTAAATACTATGAATGATAATATAGCAGTTAGTGATGTACACCTTTAGAATGAATGCGTACGGCCAGGGAGACTGAAAACATTGTTTCCATGTGATTCTTAATAATTACTTGGCTTAAAATATCACTTTTGATATTTTCCTTCTGAAAAGTCTGTGGCAAAAGCATACACTGCAGTCAAGGTTATAGGTTGCTTAAGAAGAATGAATGTACCTATTTGGTTTTAGTTTAAAAATAACAAACTGTTCCTCATGCTAGTTTTCTTAGAGCCGTTATCCTGGAAAGGCCCCCAAAGTCTTTGAGATTGTCACAGTCATAGAATACAGCGTCCTCTACTGTGATACTCAATTTAGGGAGAAACCAAACAGAGAGGTTGCCTCGCTTCTCTCAAGGAAACTAGGGAAGCTGACACAGGACAGGAAGTGGGCTTTGCCACTTTCAGCTCCAGGCTTTTCCCACTAGACTTTACTTCCTCATGTTCTAGAAAGATCACTTATGGTCAGGGGGAGCAAGTGCTATATGACTAACTTTTATTGGGGTTTTTACTTACAGGAGGCTAACTTTTTAATTTCAATTGCTTAAGATACAAGTTCTGCAAAAGGTGACCTTCATCCTCAGCCCTCTGGGCATTGTCACTGGGATTAATTGCTTGTGGCTGTTAAAGAGAATACCCACCAGAATATTCTTCATGTAGTTTATATGGCTGGTCCTTTCATGTGATTCTTGATATGTTTATTTCTATCCTTAATGCAATGAAATACTTCACTAATAAAAAAGCAGTTTCTATGAAATTGTACTGGAAATTGTATGTTATGTCATCAGATGTTCAGTTGTCTATGGAGTTCCATTTGAAAGGTGGTCTCTACCCTCCTGATGGATGTAGTCCTGAGTTACACCTCTTGGGCCACATCTGATTTCAGCTCAGGTGTGGTGGACAGTTATTGGTAGCCTGACAAGCCCCAGACTTTTCTTTTCTGCCTCCGGGTTTTCTCCAGGGCCCTGGAAGCCCCTCAGGAGCATCGAGGGGTTAATACTCCCAGGAACTGATGCTCAACCAAAGTGGGCAGAAGTCAGCCAGTAAGTGTTCCAGTCCTCAGAGGGACAATTCTCAGGCTCATTCTACTTGGTGCCTCAGGTGCGGTTGCCCACAGTGGGAACTGCTTCCTGTTACCGTTTCTTCATTCTCTGTCTCAGTCTCCCCACGCCCTCACTGCTGCTTCCTCCCAAATAATCTACCTGCACTAACATCCTTATTCAGGTCTGCTTCCAGGTAAACACAAGCTAAAAGGCAGACAAGTCCACCCAGGGGGCTTGGCAGGATCAGAGAACTGTTGGAGAAGTACTGGACCTATGTTTCTGCGGACATTTGGACTGAAGTCATTAGTCCAACAATTTAGATTACCTTTAAAACCTTTCCCATCCCAATAATATTGCATTTTACTTCTAAAATCAGCAAATCCAGATCAATCATCGAAGATTTAGCTCAGTGTTACAAATGTCCTTATGTGTTAAGGGCACTTGACCCTTTGGGCTTCATAGGAATCCCAGATCTGATTTTAGCTGGCTTATGGCACAGGGGAAGCTCCTGATGCCTATTTCTGCTTACTCAAAGGTGTATAGAGACACCTGGAACTCTGTAACATATCAAACCCAATCATTTCAAATCAAGGAGTAAGAAAGTTCCAGAAAATATATTTCAAAGAGTACTAATAAGGGGTGACATGTTCCACCAGGTATTAAAACATATACCCATGAACAATAATTAAGAAAGTGTACATATGGTAAGTGATATAGAATACAAAGTCCAGGAACATGGGTACACATTAAGACAAGATAAAGGTCCCATTTCCAATAATAACTGGTCTTTTATTTATTCAGCTAATATATTTAAAAAATATTTTAACCTTTTGAGGTGTAATTTACATAACAAAAAACTCATCCATTTAAAATGTACAATGATTGTTAGTGAATTTACTGACTTGTGCAGTGTTAGAACATTATCACCTTAGTAAAATCCCTCATGTAAGTTTAAGTTAATCCCCATAACCACCCCAGCGCTAGGCAACCACTAACCTACTTTCTGTCTCTACAGATTTGCTGATCTCCGGTCTAGGCAAGAGGTTATGGTAATTTGAATCAGGGAGATGGCAGTGGAAATGAAGTATTTTAGAAATACTTAAAAGATAAAAATCCATAGGACTTGAGAGACAACTCTGGGAAAGGGAAGGGAGAGGGACATGTCAAGTAGCTCATTCGTTCCACAGTCCTGAACAAAGCCCACCATGAGGGCAGGCATTCTGCTAGCACTAGGGAGACAACCAGTAAATACAGGAAAGTTTTCTGCTCTCATGGAGCTAATGTTAAATGGGGGAGGGGAGGCAGTAAATAGGTGGTGGTAAGTGCTAAGAATATTAAAGTAGCCAGAGTGACAAAAGTGGAATGTCCTCTTAGAAATGGTGATAAGGGAAAGCTTCCTATCAAAGAACTATTCAGCCATTCTTTTGCATCTGAGATCGTTCTTCCTTCCATCCATGATTTCTGTGCTTTGGCTCAGCTGGTTCTCTCTCGGGCCACTCTCAAACTCTTCTTGAGGGCTATCTGCTCTGGGCTTAACATTGGTGCTCAGCTGCAGCCTCTTCTCACTTGACACTCTCTCCCTGACAATCCCATTTACTCCATCCATCTCCTTGCCACCCAAGTCATCTTCTCGGAGACAACCAGTGTTATTCATTTTTTAAAAATTTATCTTTCCAGGAATATTTTATATAAATATGTGTAATTATATATTCCACCCCTCTTTTTTTCCCATTCAAATTATATCATACCATATACCATATAGTTCTAAATTGTTTATATAACTTATCTTTGAGATCTTTCTTTTCAGAACACAGCATTACTGTTCCCATTGCACAGCTTAATAGTATTCCTTTGTATAAATGCGGCTATTTAAGCAATCTGCTGTTTGTTTCAAATCATCTGTTATTATACATAATGCTGTAACAGATAACCTTGTATTCTATTAATTTTGCCAAATCATTTATAAGATAAATTCCTAGAAGTAGCATTGCTGGGTGCAAGGACAATTGTAATTTTGATAGACACAATGGCTTTTTTGTTCTTATTTTTATTTTTACCAGTCATACAAGCACATAGATTTAAGAATCAAAAAACTATACAAAGTTTCTACAAAAAAACCCCACTAAATATACATCAGTCTCAGAGGCGCTTCTTTTAGCCTTCTTTTTAATTTCTCTCTTTTTTTCCTTTTCACTTTACTCCCACGACTCTTTAAGTATGCTGCTTCGGGAATTTTCAGTTTTAGTATTATCCGTTGACTCTCTGCTATGGAGAATGAGGATTTAGCTTGCTTTCTTACCCAGTCTTCATTGTACACTGCTATTCAGCTTCCTGCCCATCTTTTCCAAGGGGGCTCCCTAAAGCAGTTTTTAAGGGCTCTCTGGAGGCACGCCGTGGAGGGTTTCCCAGCATCTCACCTCGGTTGTGACGCTCCAAGCCACGCGAAGCCACAAGGCCCCGGAAGCAAGCTGGATCGGGGGCGTTCCCTCTCCTCCCTCCACCCACTACGCTTTTCTAGCGTTCCGGCCTCTTAGCCTAGGCCAGAAAAGGGGCGGAACTCCGTGATCCGGGAGCGGTTTCCCCGCCGGATCGAAAAGCGGAGTGCACCGACTGTCGCGGGAGCGGTACCTCAGTCCCCTCCTCCCGCGACATGGCCTTCAACTTTGGGGCTCCCTCGGCCACCTCGGGTACTGCTGCAGCCACCGCGGCCCCCACGGGTGAGTTGTCCCCCAGACCTTCTCCCGGAGAGGAGGGAAGACCTTTGGTCCGGCCCTTCGGTCCGAGACTTTAGGGCTTGGAGTCCTGGGGTCTCCTGCCCGCGCGGAGACTAGGGGCTTGGGAAAAGGGCGGGCGGCTGCAGAGCGGGCCGAGGCGGCTCCTGAGGAGGCCGCGGGGGGAATGGAGGTCCAACATGGAACTCGCGCGCCGCGGGTGGGTACCCGCAGGGCCCCTTTCCTTCTAGGGTTCGCTTCCCGCTGCCGCGGAATCGGAGTCGGAGAGCCTGGAGGCGGCTCCTCTCTCGCTTTGCCGGAGACCCGCCCTCCCCTCCCCTCCCCACCTCAGACTCCGGGACTGGCGGGAACGCTCGCCTGGTTCCTGCGCTGGGCTCCGCGAGGGTAGGGCTGTGGAGCCTTCGGCGCAGCTCTGTGGCTCCCTCGGCCCTGGTCCCTTTGGTTCTAGCTGCGGGACTATACGCTCCTGCTCCTTCCTCCGTCCCCCGCCTCCTCTCCTGTCTTTGGAGCAAAGTCAGGGTTTGTCTTTGTTCACTTCTGTGAAGCCTCGTGCTGACTCTTCTAATACGTATGTTGCTTTCTTTTCTTTTTCTTATTTCTTCTTTTCCCTCTCCTCTTTTAAAATTTTGTTTGTTTCTTTGCCTACACGCCTATCAGGATTTGGTGGGCTTGAGACTGCCAACTCCACCGCCAGTGGGTTTAATTTTGGGGGTTTCGGATTAACTGCTAATCCTGCAGTGAATTTTAATATTGGGAGTTTCGGTGTTTCTACTACCTCGGCGACTCCATTCAATTTTGGTAACAGTCTGGCAAGTGCAGGTAGATATGCGGGTCGTCTGTGTAACGAATGTTGGGAGCTGGAGTCCAAGAATATTTTGTGGTTCCTAGAGTTTGGGAAAGAACAGTGACTTTTCTAATAAGGAAAGGAGATTTATTTCCTAATGTCTAATCAAGAACAGTTATATCAAGTTTTGACTGCCTTTAAAAAATTGCTTTGGGGAAATCTTGCAAGTTATAATGTTCCTTTGTTAAATTTGCATTCAATTGAACAGAATATGCCTTCCAAGTGATAAGAATTCGGAATGGATTATTATTTTTGAGTAGAATGTATCTTCCAAATGATTAGATATCTCCTTCAAAGTATAAGCTCAACAGTCAGGCCCATTTTCCTGGAATTCTTGGACTCCTGCAGTCATTTTTTCATTTTTCCTGCATCTTTCATTGGAATTTCATTTGACTGTCCTTGTGTTTCCTGAGAGAAACAAGTCTTATACGAACAGCGGCAACCTGTCTTGTTTTTTAACCTGTATAATAATAATGTGTTTCTTTGGTCAACTCAGCAGATTAGGATACATTTCTATAAGGTAATGTGATTATGGAAAGAATCCCCAATTCTTTACTGGATTTTTTTTTGAGAAATGGTCAGAGAGAGCAATTTAGTTTATTGTCAGATAGTATTGGGTTCTAAAAGGTAGGCCAGACATCTTTGTACTCAAAATAATTATGAAGATTTTGGTATCTATATGGATTGTTTGAAGTTCACTGGAAATTTGCAAAACACAAACTATAATGTGTGTATACATTTAGATATAAATTTAAAATAGGTCAGGTCTGTGTGTACCTTGCGTACAGTGACCCTATGGAAAAATCTTGTTCCTCAGCTGCTCGTATATGAATTTATTGTCCATATTCTCTTACATTATGCCACTTAATGCCCATGCCAATTATATGCATTTGATAAGCATGAATTATTCCCTAAGACTTATTTGGGAAGTCTGGCATTTTGTGCAGTTACTTGTTACTGCTGTGTGGCTATGACCTTGGCATCTAATTTGAAAACATTTTGAAGAATACTTAAAAATTCCAAAGATTAAATAATCCATTATCATTAAGGTATATTTGAAGTGATCACATATGACTGTTTGGATGTTTGCTTTTTCTCTGTTTGCTTAAAATTGGCACTGGGTAAAACAGAAACATTTTGAAATTTGTGTTTCCAAACAAACCCACCCAGCTCGTAATTCAACAACAATAAACCAACCTGTTGGTATTTGCTTGATTTCATGTTCATTTGGAGTTATCACTGTTAAGCTTTGAGTTGTGGTAATATAACTGTGTTTTAACTACTTTTATGTATGTTCATTAACGTAGTGTTCAGCAAAGGGCTGATAGAAATTCTTGTCTACTTTTTAATTTTATTCCCTTGCCAGATCCATTATTACAAAAAAAATTTTGTTATTATGGAGCATGTTAAAGATATTAATGTTTTTATTGTGTAGCCAGTTCAGAATATAGCTCAGATTTTCTATGAAAGTTAGAAGTAAGAAAAGATTAGGAACAATGTTCAGTACTTTAGGTGATTTTTATCAAAATGTTTACAGTTTGCAGTACTGCAGTAGAACCCACAAGTAAAATAAGAGTATTTGGTTATATCTGCATGCAACATGTAGTCGATTGTTGAGTAATTTTCCAAGTCAAAATTATATGATGATTATAATGGGTTGGTTTTTTTTTTGTCCTTGTATCTTTTATGTTACCATATTGATGAATCTCTGTCTCTTATGCCAGAAATATATGAGATTAAAAGTTAGAGGATTTGTCTTAAAAGTTTTTCTTGGCACCACATTGGTAATCAGGTAAAGACTGACAGAAAGGAAAGTCCATTTCATTCATATGTCAGGTTAGATATGGTTTAGATTAATTTTGATTCCAGATTTAGCTAAAAATGAAATTTCTGTATCTGTCAGAGTTACCAAACTGTGGTGCAGTGCCCTGTGGTAGCTTTGCTCTCCTTCCTGGCCACTGCCTTCCTCTTGTGGGTTTTTTACCCTTAACTCTTCCTTAAAGAAACACATTCTTGTTGTATAGAAGTCAGTATATTGGTATGTTTCATTTGAAAAGTTGCTTAGCCTTGTTGGGAGACTCAGTAGAAATATACGCTGAAGTAAAATATACATGAATTCACTGAAGCCAAAGTTGCAAACAGTCTACTGATATGCTCTGTTTGTCACACTGTTTTAAAAACATTCGAGTTAGTTGCAGAAAATCAATTGAATTAGACTTTCAATTCTGTAAATTTCACATAGAAAATCTATATCTTCTATTTCTCTTGGGAGAAAATGGAAATATATAACACTACTAACCTACCATTCTCCTGTAGCAGTAATCTGCTGGAATTTAGGAACTGCTGCCTTTTTAAAAAACTGTTCACATTGATAAGTTCTACCAGTCAGTAAACACCTAGACTATTTCACTCTTTAATGTTAGCCTAAATCTTGTAGGTGTTTGAGTTTGCAACCCCTACTCTAAAAGTACACTCAGTCATTTTAGAGTGTGTTAAACCTTAGGCAGTAGGCTTAATATGTTTTCTCAGCTGTAACTGTTAATCACCTCTTTAGTTGAAAGGTGTATATTGCATTGTGGTGTTTCTACTTTACTTAGTCGCTCATTTCTGCAGTGTATTGACTTCTTGATTAGTATAGTTTTTAAAAAATTGATGTTGAAAGTAGAGAAAGGAAAAATCACACCAATATATTTCATCTTTATATAGAGCAATTACTAATATAATTTGGAAAAGAAATTACCTCATATGTATACAAAAGATTCTTCCTTTCTATTTATTTATCCTTTTTTAATTAGGTGGGTTTGGAGGATTTGGGACAACATCTACAACAGCAGGTTCTGCATTCAGCTTTTCTACTCCAGCTAACACAGGTGCTACTGGTAAGAAGATATCAAACCATTTGTAGAAGCCAATGAGCTAGAGGTCAATTCTTTTTTAACTTATACAATTTTAATTTTTTTATTCAAAGGACTCTTTGGTGGTACTCAGAACAAAGGTTTTGGATTTGGTACTGGTTTTGGCACAACAGCTGGAACTAGTACTGGTTTAGGTACTGGTTTGGGAACTGGACTTGGATTTGGAGGATTTAATACACAGCAGCAGCAACAGCAACAAACTAGTAAGTATGAGATTTTCATTTTAAAATACAAAGCCACAATATAGGTAACATTACTGAGTACACTATTCAAAACACTTTAGTGGATATCTTTTTTTTTTTTAAGAATGATAAATATATTATATTCCACAGAATTCCAAAAGCTACTTCTCATGTTTACATATGATGGTAGCTGGGGAGAAGACAGATTGGCATGATTAGGATTAAAAGGCCTCTGTGTTTAGTATCATTCCATTAAAATTTTTTTGTTGTTGCTAAAAATAACAGGAGAATAGAAAATGACAAAATTACAGCTCAAAGAATTATATATAAGGTGAATGCCTTTGTCACTTGCCCATCAGAGAAAATATATGTTGATTACTTTCTTATTTTTCTTTATCATTTTGTCACTCAGGTGTGTAAACAGTACTATTTAGTTTCATTTATCTTTAACCTCTGTAGGTTCCCCTTTTAGCTCTCTTTTTAAAAAATTTTCAGTTTGTTGAAGAAATCAGATTTGTCCTGGAGAGGTCATCAGTCAGGACTTTAGTGATTTCATTCCTGTTGTATAGTTTTCATATCCCTTTGCCCTCTGTATTTCTTGCAAGTTGGGTTGGATCTAGGGGGTTAATTATGTTGATAGTTAAGTTTTTTGTTTGTTTGCAAGACTACTTTATAGATAGTGTTGTATTTTTTATCAAGAGGCATATCATGTCTGATTGTCTCTACATTTTGTCATGTTAGCAGCAGCCATTGGTTATCATTACCTAGATCCATTAATTCATTAGGGGTTACAAAATGGTGTTATTCCAATACTGTGACTCCTTTTTCATTTATTTTTTGGAATACTTCAATAAAGAGAAACTTTACCTCATCCACTATAGATGATTCTTCCCCTTTATTCTTAGTTTTCAAAGTAAAGAATTGGTTCCTAATCATTCTCCAAAGGGAACTTTTTTTTTTTTGATGTCAGGAACTCAAGTATTTAAATTATTTGGTATTTTTTAATCCATTGTAGTTTTACTTATTGATGCTTAAATTGTTTCAACTTTGGGTAGCGTAAGCCTCAGGTTGGTTCCCAAATCCCTTTAGACACAAGTGTAGAATTAGCCTTTGATAGCTTCCTTACTAGCTGGTATGGCAGTATGTTCCAGGGTTATCTTATATGGATTAATTTATTTAATTATCACAAGAACTTTATGAAGTAGAACTCTTTGGTATCTCCATTTTATAGGTGAAGAGAGGAAACTGAGAGAATTGTGACTTTTCCATATACCTCCTAAGAAGTAGTATAAGAACATAAATTCCAGTTCTGTGACTTCTTTTGTAATTCTTTTTCTTTTCCATCGTCTGCGACCTCTTAAAATCACTTTTGTTTCATCTTTCTTAGATAACTTGATTGTCTAAAATTCACTTTACTTAGACATTGAAGATTAGTAATTTATTAAATATGAATTTCAAGAATTATCTAACCAATAGGATAAAGATAATAGAATTATTCCTCCAGAATAATTCCAGAATTTTTTTTTCTAGAGTTACAATTGTATCTTTCCTACTATCCTCCTGCAAAAATACACGTAGTTTGATGGAAATCCAGGTAGTTAAGGAGAAGAAAAGAAAAGTGAAGTTTTTTCTTTGTTTCTTGACATAAAGCCTCTCCAACTGTAAGTTATTATAGTTGCATTTACTTTTGTTAGGAAAAGTGGGAATTTGAATCTGGTGCTATTCATTTTCAGAATGAAAAGGACTCATTCAGTTAGATAGCAGCCATTTGCTGAGTATATGTTGTATGTCAGGCACTGGGTATATAAGGTTGAAGACCATAACCCCTGTTTATAGCCTGCAAGGAGACAGATTAGCAATTAGATAGAATAATATACATTAAACTATAAAAAATATGTATGGGTGGGAGCACTAAAACAGACCCACACAAGTTGCTATGGAATACAGAGGAAGAGTTGAATCTTAAAGGAATTAGCCAGTTGGATAAAGTCAGAAAAGGGTATTCCAGACAGAGGGAATAACATTGACAAAGGTATGACTGCATGGCACAGCATGATGGATTTGGGGCCTGCTGTTGTAAGGAGTTTGAGTTTAATCTACAAAGATTGTGGAGGTTTTGCCTCATTTTTTAAAACTCCTGCTTGTGTGCAGCACTTGCAGTCTGGTTACACCATCTCTGATGTGTCTAATCTCAGTTACCTGCTGAATTCCTGGACAGTACTTCTTATTCACTGAAAACTTTGGCAGCTGGCTCTGAGTCTTGCTTTTCTTTCCAACTTGTGCTTTCAGTCTGGTTTATTTTCCTACTCAAACAGCTATGCCATCTACCTTTTTATTACAAAGAACTCCATTTCACTTTAGCCACAATTCTTACCTTGGACTTTGGCAACATCTGAAACTGTTCTAATTCCATGATCACTAATGTAAACATCCCACAACCTATTGCTCTTTTAGCCTGCCTTTTCAACTTCCAGTATAGCTGTTCTTCGATCTCATTAGAATCTTTAGACCCATGACACTTTCTGCTTTTCCATCAGCTCCTTCCTGTCTTCATAATTTTCTCTAATTAGCTTAGATTCCTTGTCCTTCCATTTCGGTCACTCTCACTATATGCTAAACTTCCTTATCCTTGTAGCATGTCTACCTGAATAAACCACCCAAGCCTGTGTAAGCCCAACTGTCTCTAGATACTGCTTGAGAACATCACACAGTATAAAAGATTGAATAGTACCTCTAAATTCTTAATCACCAACCCAAGTTGGGGCCTCAACATTGCCCGGCAATCCTGAGAAGTTTCTGTTTTCAAATTATTCTTCCACTTTCTATAAATTATTTTAAACCTTTATTCTCTTCACATCTCAGATTTCCCTGTTCTCACTTTCAGCAGATGGCCTTGACTTCTACTGCACAGAGAAAATAGAATCCCTCATTGTAATCCCTTCAGCTGCCCACTACTGAATCTGTCTACCTCCCTCTGAACCCCTCCTTTTCTCTTTTCACCAGTGCCCTGGATCTCATATCCTCCCACCTTCTGGTGACCTTTGTGTTGTTGATTGTTCTGCCCAGCAAACACCCACCCCATTCCACCTCCCACCCTCTACCAAAAGAAAAAGTCTTCAGCTTCTCTATCCAAGGATTCTTCTCATCCAAGCTTAAATAATCTGAAGTTTCTTATTTCTTAAAACAGTAACAACAAAACAAAACTACTTTAATCTCCCATTTCACTTCGGCTGTCATTCTTTTCCTTCATAAACTACTTGGAACAGATGTAGAAGAATGGGATTGTCTGTTACCTCTTAGTCTGCACTAGTCTGGTTTCTCCTTTCTTTACCCAATCAAATAGTTAAGGTTATGAATCATCTCAAATCCAATGAACATTTACTGTTCTTTAATTGAGAAAAATTCTAACACAGAAAAGTAGAATAATAAAACAATCCCACATTCTACCAAATAGATTCAACAAAAGTCAAAACTTGCCATATTTGCTTTATCTATCTCCTCCTTCCTCCCTTCCTTTTTTTTTTCTTTTGAATTGCTGAAATACTTTAAAGAAAATCCCAAACATGTCATTTCACCCTTACTTTACTGTGTTACTCTTAAAAACATGGAATCATTTCAACTTACAAGTAATAACTCCTTGGTGTCATCTAATACCCAGTCCTTAATCAAATGTCCTCTTATGTCTCAGTAAAGTTTCCTTCAGACAAGGACCACACATTCACTTTCTTGTTATGTCTCTTAAGTTTCCATTTAGTATAGAGAATTCCCCACTCTGGTTTTTCCTTACTCATGAATTATTGCAGAAATTAGGCCATTTGTACTGTGAAATGCCCAATTCTAGATATGTTTGTTTTCTTATAGAATCATTTAGCTTTATCCCCCATATTTGTGGTAAATGAAGTTAGCTTTAGATACTTTATTAGATTTGACTTTGACTTTTTGGCATGAATACTTTGCAGGTGGTGCTGTGTGCTTCATGTTGCATCATATTAAGTGGCTGTCTCTCTCTTAGAGATGCTCAGTGGTTGATCAGTGGTTCAGGTGGTGAGAGCCAGTCTGTCTTAGAAAGTTCCCCATCACTCTTTAACCTAATGGTTTCATTCATTGATGGTCATTGCCTCAATCAATTATTTTATTAGGAGTTGCAAAATGGTGATTTTCTAATTCTGCCCTCTCTTCTACACTGAAATTCTTCTGTAAAAGGAGTTTTTCTTCATCCCACCAAGATTGCTTAGTCAGCCTGAAATACAATTTGTATGGGAAAGGCATGGTAAGTTCTTTCTTAATTGACAGTTTTTGTAAGAAGTTGTTGGTGGCCTGATTATTTCCAGTGGTGTCTAAGGGGTTGAGATTTTATAAATTTTTAATTTTTACTTTAAAAAATCATTTTGAATGCATGAGCTTTAATAAATTGAATGTGTTTTGAGTTGGTTGCATTCATTATTCTTTTTGATGCTCAAATTGTCACATTTTTGGCCAGTGTAAGCCCTTGCCTTCAATGATAGCCTGGTCTGTTTTTTTTCCTTCCTTATTGTTTGGTGCTCCTTACTGCTTTTGCCAGCTTGTCTTCCCCTCTTTGCCACAGAGATTTTGCACATACTGTTCTTCTTTGCCACTGCCCCATGACCTGACTGACTATGTCCTTTAGACCTTAGTTGAAGTTCTAATGGAACAGCTTTCTCTTGACCCTCCTGCCCCAGGCTTGGTTAGCTGCCTCGTTTAAGACTCTCATAGCCTCTGTACTTCTCCCAGGCACTTACCACAACTGTTAATATTTGTTTGATGTGCTCAGTTTGTTTAAAGAACCAGTCTTGTTTACTGCCATATATCCTTAGTGTTTGCCTCTATCTCTGACACTTAGTAGGTGCTCAGTAAGTATTTGATGAATGAATGAAAATATGCATGTATGTAAGTATGTATGATATGTAAAACCAGGAGAGACTGTATTATCCGGAAATCTAAGGAAGGAGAGTTTTTCAAGGAGGATGTGTATTCAGTGAAAGTAGATTTTCTTTGGGAGCAGAAAGAATAATCAATAGCATGAGAGCCCTGAAAAGGTAGAAAGATATGAGATGTCTAACATGCTAAGGCTTTAAAAGAGACTACTGGATTTTGTTATTTGAGTTTCTCAAATGCCTTCTAGTTAGTGAGCTCTGAGTAGACTAGTGTAGTGGAATCCAGTGTGAAGTGTCAAGGGGGAGGCTGAATTTAAATTAGTATAGATAATAGTTTGTTTATCTTATTTAAAAGTTGAAGAAGGTAAAGCCTAGGAATTTCTTGACCAAGACTGCAAAGTGAGCTTATAGTAAACCAGTATTCAAGTCTTCTGGCTTCTAGTCCAGTTCTTTAGCATTTTCATATATGCCCACTTGGGAATTAGTAATATTCATGTGGAAGGTTACAGCAGCCCCTCTCTAGCCCTTAGAAGCCCCATTGGCCTTGTGGTACTTACAGTCTTTAGAGCTGAAAGAAAACTTAAATATCATCTAATACAGTAGTCCTAAAACTCAGGTCATTTTGGTATTATCTTCATGATTTTTCTTTTATCTACATACCATTTGTATTGTTAAAGGATTTTCTTTAAATCAATTTACTTTTAAACATTATGTTTATTTGAAAAGAAAGATTCAAACTACTGCTATAAATGGAAAATCAGTATAAAGAAAAGATAACTGAAAATAAGTACACAGAAAATGTAATAGTGTTAATAAATTCTAGTTAGATACTTTGCTTTGAGCCCTGAGCCTTAGATTTGTTCTCCCCTTTGTTGACAAGTGAGATAAGCAGATGACATGAGGCATTAAAAGCATACGAACACCAAACAGACTTTAAAAAAATAAATGTATTCAGTAATCAAAAGAGAAATTGTTACATAATTCAGTCTATTTAGTGACTCGGCTGTTGCTTGATGGCTGTAATTTCATGTACCGGGGGTACTTATCTACTAACACTTTGGAAATAACTGATCTGATACAACTTAGCCCTTTCCTCTATTGGAGAAATTGTAGCATAGAGAAGATAAGTGACTTGCCCAAAGTTATGCAGCCAGCTAAGCTTTAGCTTAGGATTTGTCCATTTGTTGTCTTTTTCACTATATCTTTCTTTATAATAAGAGAAGGAAATTGTTTATTAAGCTGACAGTGACATAACATTGATATAATGATTCTTTTTGCTTATTTTGTATCCTAATTTGTATTTATTATACAAATAAATATAACAACAGTAAATGTTGTTTAAAAAAATTCTGCAACTTCACAAACTTTACTCTTTTGGTGTGGATCTAATATTAATATCATGGATCAAATTTGTGTTCTGATAATGGAATTAGTTATATTAAGGTGATATTAGAAAGGCAGGTTTAACATTCTGAGGATTGACTTAGCATATTAGTTTCCTATTATTGCTGTAACAAAGTGTCACAAACTTAGTTGTTTAAAACATACTATCTTACAGTTCTGGAAATCAGAAATCCAGAAATGAGTTTCCCTGAACTAAAATCAAGGTGTTGACAGGACTGTGTTACTTCTGGAGCCTCTAAGGGAGAATCCGTTACTCTGCCTTATCCAGCTTAGATCCAGAGTCTCTGCATTCCTTGGCTTAGCTCCTTCTCCATCCTCAAAACCAGCAGCATAGCATCTCCACATCTCACTTTGACTCTGACTTCCCTCTTCTCTTTTAAAAACCCTTATATTATGTTGAACCCACTCTGATAATCCAGGATAATCTTGATTGATTTAATCACATCCTTGAAGTGCCTTTTGCTGTGAATGGTAACATAATTTATAGGTTCTGGGGATTAGGACATGGACCTTTTTTTTGGGGTGGGGGGTATTATTCTGCCTACCATATCTAAGATATGAATTGATTGATTTTTTTTTGGAGAAACTAATTTTGGGGTATGTTTTTAGCATTAGGTGGTCTCTTCAGTCAGCCTACACAAGCTCCTACCCAGTCCAACCAACTGATAAATACTGCAAGTGCTCTTTCTGCTCCTACGCTACTGGGAGATGAGAGAGATGCTATTTTGGCAAAATGGAATCAACTACAGGCCTTTTGGGGAACAGGAAAAGGATATTTCAACAATAACATTCCACCAGTGGAGTTCACACAAGAAAATCCCTTTTGCCGATTTAAGGTATTAATACTACTTTTGGTCTTTACTTGAAGATTGTATAAGAAAATATGATATTTGGATTAAAATTATACAAAAAACCCAGTTGTTTGGTTTTTTAGTACTCCTTGAACATGTATAATAACATTGTTGTTTAAAAGTACAGAAATTATAAAATTGAAGTGATTTCTTACATATGTGTGATTGAGATAACTAGAATACAACTGAAGGAAGGTGTGATTAGAATGTAACTTCTAGCAAGAAAAAACTTTAACAGAGGGGAAATGGTCTGCTTGGCACCTATGAAGGGGTGGCCTAAAACTAGAATTCAGTGGTAGCTATCTAACGTTGTCCAAGAAAGTACACCTAACCAGCAGGTGGGAGTAACTTCTGCTTGGCATGTGTAATCCTATTGTCACTATAATAGCTGGATGCCAAAGTTGCTTTCTTTGTTCTCATTCCATGCTTACTGAACAAGTTTCTCGGTTGCATTTGGCTTCTCAGAGATACTGTTCATTAGCCAGTGAGAGTATATAGCTCAACTTGGTGATCTCTTTTTCATAAAAAATTAATGTATTGTAATCCAATTTATATGTCAGCCTCTTTTGCATTTTATTTGGCTTATGTCAGTCTCTTAAACCTAATCAATGTCTGTATAAGCTGGTGTTTGGAGTTGCAGGGCTGAGGCTTTATAATTGTGTGACCTCCTAGGGCATAAAGTGGTAGGAGGAATCATTACATACTCCCTGCATTACCAGACATTAAGCTGTTTTCCCTGTTTTAACACAGATGCTAAGCTATTAATATTAAACATCTGATTTAAGATCTGTACATATTTTTGATATCGTTTATTTTGTCATTCCACAGGCAGTAGGTTATAGTTGTATGCCCAATAATAAAGATGAAGATGGGCTAGTGGTTTTAGTTTTCAACAAAAAAGAAACAGATATTCGAAGCCAGCAACAGCAGTTGGTAGAATCACTGCATAAAGTTTTGGGAGGAAACCAGACCCTTACTGTAAATGTAGAGGGTATTAAAACATTGCCAGATGATCAGTAAGTATACATTAAATACACTGTATATTTCTGTGTGCTTTCCTCCAAAGAGAGTGATCAACAGTGTTTTTACTGCTAAGCACAAATTAAACCTCAAAGCAAAATACTATTTCTCAGCTAGTGATTCTTCAGTATTTATAGAAACATTTGTTTAAAAGCTTTTTTTTTAATGTTAGATTTCTTAACTTATTAGATGCTAATAATTTCTCAGATTTTTCATTCAGAAACAGGAAGATACACTAATCATGGCTATGTGCAAATCAAGGGCCACAGAGACTTTTTGGAATGTTTTAACTGATTACTATTCATGTTCGTTCATGGATAAATATGACTAACTTCCCTTGTCCTGTGTATAACTGTCTTCCTTAGTGACAAGACATTTGCTTTGGGATATTTTGGGTTAGGAGAATTTTTGTTGTTAGATATAATAACTGAAATCAGATTGCACTTTTTGGTCTTAATTGCAGTGAAGCAACCCATAAGCTTCAACAGAATCTCCACAAAGTATTTCTTGATTTGGGGAAAAAATAACATTTACATAGGACTTTGCAGCTAAGCATACTTTTTGCAGTCTATTTGGTTTGTCTCATTTTAACTTTACTTCTGAATTCAGCTAGCACTCTTCTAAAATCACATGCTGCATTGATACTTGTGACTGTGAGTTATGTGCTCCATATTTCATAACTTGGTTATTTTTCCCCAGGACAGAAGTTGTCATTTATGTTGTTGAACGTTCTCCAAATGGTACTTCAAGAAGAGTTCCAGCTACAACGCTGTATGCCTATTTTGAACAAACCAATATAAAAACACAATTGCAGCAACTTGGTGTAACCCTTTCTATGACTAGAACTGAACTTTCTCCTGCACAGATTAAACAGCTTTTACAGAATCCTCCTGCTGGTATGTTTCCAAAGTCATGGAGTTAAGGAAATGAAAGATTAAGAGATACATGCTTCCTCTGTTTTGGGAGATGTTGGTACAGGTCATTAATGTTAATAAAACCAGTGTCAGCTTATCACATGCCTTCTTATTTGGAACATAGTATTGAATGTTTATTCATTCATTTAGTTTTTTCTATTACATAGCTAATATGTTGGTTAGAAATTTTGGTAAATGATGAACTAAAGAAAAATAGTCCATAATCCATCTACCCAAAGGTAATTCAATCTTGATATTTTATTTTTATCTACCTTATGTCTTGTTTTAACTGAGTATTCAAGTAAAACCTGGATGTGTTCTCACTATAAAGATTCTAGATGGCATAAATAGATTGACTATGTTAACAGATCTTCTTTACGTCTCTTTCCACAGAAGTAGCTGCTATTAATAATTTATTGTACTTCATTAGTCCTTTATCTGTGATTTTAGTATAAGCATGTTAAGTCATTAAAAAAAGGATTCTATACTGTACATTTACTGCAGCCTGCCTTTTTACTTATGGTATTTCTTAGTACTTTCTATGTCAGTGCATGAAGATAAATCTTACTTTTTAAAAACTGTGTGGAATACTGTCGATGTACTTTACTGTATGTAACCTCCAGGTTGTTTCTACCTTTCCACTATTATAAACTGTGCAACAATTAACATCTTTGTAAATATGTCTTAGAACACATGAGCATGCATTTTTTTAGAACAGACCTCTAGTCGTGAAATTTTTGAGTAAAGATTATCTATACAGTCAGCCCTCTGCATCTGAGGGTTCTACAGCCCCAGGTTCTACATCCACACATTCAACTAACTGCAGCTCCAAAATAGGGGAAGAAATTCTAGAAAGTACCAAAAAGCAAAACTTGAATTGCTGTGCCCTGGCAACTATTTACATAACATTTACATTGTGTCAGGTATTATAAGTAACCTACAAATGATTTAAAGTATATGGGAGGGTGGGCATAGGTTATTTGCAAATACTACACTGTTTTTTCACAATGGACTTGAACATCCCCAGGAAAGTGGGGTTGATCCTGCATCAGATCCTCTCTGGATACCAGAGGGATGACTGTACTTTATGTATTGTTACATAATGCCAGACTGCTCTTCGGAGGAAGTTCTGCCATTTACATTCATAACAGGAATGTGTTATTTTTCTCATATTTTTGATTTTTCTAATGTTTTCTCATTTTGCTCTATTTTTGCCAACAGTGGAGATTATTAGTCTTTTAAATTTTGCCACTCTGATTGCAAAAAAATTAACACTTATTTTCATTTGCATTTCCCTGATTACTACTAAAGTGGACCATATTTTTTGTTTATTAATCACTTGATTATAATTTTTGTGAGTTACTTATTGATATCGTTTGCCCAGTTTCTGTTAAATTTTTTGTCTTTCTGATTTATAGGCGCTCTTCCTATATTCTGGACGTTAATCTATTATCCTGTAGGTTATAGATATTTGTTTTCAAGCTACGCTTTTTTTTATAAGCTTTATCCTACAATTTTTTTTTGTAGTGGTCATATTTGACAGTCATTTTTCATTACAGCTTCTAGGTTTTGTATCTTTAGGAAGGCCCTTCCCATACAAATACTATAAAAATGGAAAATATTTCCTTTTAGAAAAATGATTTCTTTTTTGTGGTAGGTGTTGATCCTATTATCTGGGAACAAGCCAAAGTGGATAACCCTGATTCTGAAAAGTAAGTGTATCTTCATCTTGTTTCTATATAAGAATTATTATTTACTACTAGGGAAGCAAACAAATGCAAGCTGTTAACTATAATTCTTACATTTGATGTGAGTTTATTTCCATTTTCATTGCTTTTTAAAGAATGTCGATTATGGTAAGGCAGCATAGCATGGTGAAAACATTAATATCTGAGGATCAGTCCGTGATTATTTACTTGCATTTAATAATGCAGTTTTTGACAATATTTCCTCATTCATACAATAAGGAGGTTGAGTGAAATCTCTGTGGTGTAACATTGATTTCATAGTCATAGATCTGCCTTTGAACCCTGGAAATGTAATATGAAATTACATGAATGTTATTATGAAAACCTTACTTTGTATTTTGTAATACAGGCTTAGGTATGAAAATTGACCACTTGCATTTCTTCAGGTTAATTCCTGTACCAATGGTGGGTTTCAAAGAACTTCTTCGAAGACTGAAGGTTCAAGATCAGATGACTAAGCAGCATCAGACCAGACTGGATGTAAGAACTCATCCTCCGGCCCTGGGAATGGTGTAGGGGTTACACACACTTCTTTCTACTATGTAATAGAGTGTATACTGCAAATTAATAATTAAAGTTTTATACAACTTCTTTCTTTATTATAGAGCCTCCAGAATGATGTATATCTGACTTGACATATTTTAACAATGAATTTAGAATTGTTGACTTAACAAATCAGACTTATTTTCAATTCCAGCCAGAGAATGCATATTATTTTATTAAACACTTACTTATTGGGCCTTATGAAAATGAAAGCTGCAATTATGATATGTTGTCATAATATATTACGATTTTAGGTTAATGAAACAGATTTAAGTTATTGTATGCTTAAATCTACTTAATATTTTCTGTATTTTTTTTTACTGAAGTATAGTTAACTTACAATGTTGTGTCAGTTTTTCTATGTCTGAGTCTGTTTTGTAAATAAGTTCATTTGTGTCTTTTTATAGATTCCACTTATAAGTGATATTGTATGGTATTTTTCTTCCTCTTTCTGCCTTACTTCACTTAGTATAATAATCACCAGGTCTACCCATGTTGCAGCAAATGGCATTATTTTATTCTTTTTTAAAATAGACTTTTGTAATCAAATGCCTAAAGGTTCTTAAAGGTCACTTCCAGATTCTCTTACATGGAATTCCTAATTATTCATTCAGACTCTGAGTAATGAAAAGCTTACCATTTATGAAACAATGCATTTCACCATCGGCTAGCTCTAATTGATACAAATGCCCTTCCTGTATTGACTCAGAATCTGCCTTGCTGTAATTCATACACATTTTCTCTGGCATGCTTTGTAGGTAATCACTGTGTTCCTATGACAGCCCTACAGATACTTGAACATCATAATCGTTCTTCCTTTTTAGTATTATTTTCTCTGGCTAAAATGTCCAGCATGGTTTTTGAATGTGACATGATTTCCAGGCCCTCACTGTCTTAGGCAGGATACATTGAATTTATAGGCATCACTTTTAAAATGAGTTGTTCATGGTACTGTACATGAGGTATGTCCAGAGTTCTTCAGAGTAAGGCCAAAGAAGCTATTACTTGTCTTTGTTTTTATCAGTCTTGCTAGGGGTTTGTCAATTTTATCAATCTTTTCAAAGAACAAGTTTTGTTTTCAATTTTTTTCTAGCTTTCTGTTTATAGTTTCATAAACTTTCACTCCTATTTTCTTTATTCTGCTTGCTTTGGGTTTTCTCTTTTTCTAGTGTCTTAAAGTCACAGCTTAGGCTATTGAGACATCTCTTATTTTCTAATAAAGGCATTTAATGCTGTTAATTTCCTTCTAAGCACCGCTTTACCTGAATTCCATAAATTTTGATAATGTATTTTCATCTTTGATTCATTCAAAATATTTTCAGATTTCCGTTGAGAATCCTATTTGACTTGAATTTTTTGACTAGTGGATAACTTAGAAGTATGTTTCATTTTCAAGTGCTTGGATATTTTGCTGTTACTCTGTTGTTGCCATCTAGTCTAATTCTGTTACGGTCAGAGAACTCTGTATGATTTTAGTTCTTCTAACTTTGTAAGTTTTTGAACCCACATGCTTATGAAAAGAAAGTGGATTCTGCTGTTCTTGGAGTTTTCTGTTAGTGTCATTGAGATCCATTTGGTAGGTGGTTCAGTTCTTCTATATTCTTGTTGATTTTTCTGTCTACTAGTTACAGTGTAAAAGGAGAGTTGAAGTCTCCAGCTGCAATTGTGGATTTGTCTTTTTCTCTTTTCAGTTCTATCAGTTTTCCTTCATGTATTTTGAAGGTTTGCTGTTAAGTACATATGTATCTAGGATTGTTAAATTTTCTTGGCACATTGATATTTAGTATTCTATAATGTTCCTCTTTACCCCTGGCAATTATCTTTACTCCAAAGTCTGCTTTCTCTGATATTAATATAAATAAAGCCACTCTAGCTTTCTTTTGATTAGTGTTTTTATCGTGGTATCTTTTCCCATCCTTTTACTTCCAATCTACCTTCTTTTTTTTTTGTATTTATTTATTTATTGGTAAAGGACATTTCTGTTGTTTTGTATGGAGTACTGATAATGATCAATCAAAATTACTGAATCTATATCTTGGTGCACATATAGAAGAATTTCTTTAAGATATATCTAAAAATGGATTTTTAGGTCATACCTTCATCATATTTTAAGTAAGTTTTTTGTAGACAGCATAAAGTTTAGATTTAGGCCTCCAGCTTATTGTTAACTGTTCCCTCTGTTTTTTCCTTTCTGTTTCCTCTTTTCTACTTTCTTCTGGGTTATTTGGACAGTTTTTAGTATTCTGTTTTTAATTTATTGTTATTTCTACTGTCAGTGTTTTTAGTGGTTGCCCTAGGGCAGTAGTTCTCATTGGGGGTTGGTGGTGGTGATTTTGTCCCACAGGGCGCATTTGGTAACGTCTGGAGACTCGTTTGGTTGTTACAGCTAGGGTGGGAGGCGGTGCTCCAGGTATCTAGTGGGTAGAGGCCAGGATGCTGATAAACATCCTACAGTGTACAGAACAGTACCACTGCAGCAAAGAATTATCTGGCCCAAATTGGTAGTGTTAAAAGTGAGAAACCCTTCTCTAAATATCACAGTGTTATGTCCTTACACCAGAGCAAATAGGCTTTTCTTGGAGTTGTCGGCACGATGCTCACATCCAGATTTTGGGCTGTGTTGAAACCAGACTAGGGGACTACCTGACAGGAAAATAATGGTAAACTCACCACCAGTTCAGTGGTCCTTCAAATTCATGTCTTCTTCCTCTTGCCACTATTTATTTTTCAAAGTCCTCAGGTACGAATGTGCATTCTGTTCAAGTTTTACAGCTGTCTTCAATGGGAGAGATACAGTGGCATGTACATAGTCCATCTTATCCAGAATCAAAATTGTTCATATCTTTTGCCAATTTTTCTCTTGGGCTTCATATCTTTTCTTTTTGAATTTCAGGAGTTCATCATTTATTTTAGATTTTAATCCCTAGTCTGTTCATAACATGTCTCCTACTTTTCTCATCTTTCTGCTAACTCTTGTCTTTAGTGTCATTAGTTGAACAGAAAAACCTTAATTTTAATGTAATGATATCCATTGATTTTTTTCCCTCATGTTTTCCTTTATGGGAATTTGCTTAAGAAATCATTCCTCACCCACAGTCTGAGAGTCTCCTACATTTTTTTCTAATAATTTAGTTTATCCTTTCACATTTGAGTCTTTTGTCCACATGGAGCTCACTTTGTATATACTAAGTGGTATGAACCCAACTTTCTCTAAAGAGTGGGTCAGTTTTTCCAATGTCATACACAAAAAAACTGATATTTTCCTCAGTGACTTATCAAAGCATTTATCAAAACAAGTTCCCATATGTATGTGAGGTAGTCTGTTCTTATAATATTAGTTTCATATTTTTTTACTCTTATGGCTTCGTAGTATATCTTAAAGATATGTAGTAGAATGAATCTCCAATCTTTGTTCTTTTCAAATTTTTAAGCTCTTATGGATCTTCAGTCTTCTGTAATAGATTTAAAATGAGTTTGTCAAAATGGTAAATTTTAGTTAGAATTACATTAAATATATAATTTGTAGATAATTGAATCTTGACAATATTAAATGTTTCCATCATGAACATATTTCTTTACTCATTGAGGTCCTTTACTCATTGAAGACATACTCAAGATTCGACCTTTGAAACAGTTTTAAAATAAACTATATAAAAATTATATGCATTTTTTTTCTTGGTTAATTTGTAGATTGTTTTAGTGTCTGTCAGTAAATACTGTGAATGGTAACATTTCTATTTTTTGTTAGTACTGCTCGTATCCAGTAGTAGTTAACTCTTGTTGTCTAGAAACCCTGCCAAATTTTCAAAACTGCAATTGAGGGGTGGGGGTGGAGGTGCCTGGGTTACATAATAAATAATGAGGATGGCCACCAAATTTTGTGCCTGCCAACATGCCTGGCATTGGAAAATTTCCTTAAAAGGTGACATGTGTAGACAGACATGCTAGAATGTGTCTTGTACAATCTTCTTACCCTTTTACTTATAACATCTCAACATAAGCCAGTGACACAGAATGGTTAAGTATGATAGGAAAAATTATGGGCTTAATTCCGATTGGGAAGCTTTAATGAAATGAGATTTTAACTTGCTCTGTAAGGTTAAGCTTTTCATAAGGCAAAACAGTAGGATTTCAGCCCAGGCAAAGAGCAAATCAAAGCCCCAGGGGAATAAAAATGTCTTCAGTTGTGTGATTAACAGCCATCCTTTCCCTCTCCACTCCAAGCATCTCCCCCCAGAGTATTTTGTAACAGTTAATATTGGACTATACTTTCAGCATGTAGTTATATTTAATTATCTATTAAGGTCCCTTCTGCATATCACTTTATAGATCTTTTTCCATTCATGGCCTGGTTGTTGGCTCTGTTCCATAGTATTACTTCAGATTCCTTAATTATTTCTGAAGTGTATGTTTTAGTTTTCTGTATACTTTGCCTCATCACTAAATTTCCTGGAGCTTAAAGAAATCTTTGAATGATACTTTTTAACTTTAAGGTGTACAAAAGGGGAAGAAATATAAAAGCAGATTTAAAGGGAAAGAGTTTATATTTTGAGAGAGAAATCTCAGGCTTATCTTAGAATTAGACTTTGCTTATAAGTGAACCTGATAAAACAGTTGTGATATCAGTACTTGATTTACCTTTATTTATTTTAAAACAGATCATATCTGAAGATATTAGTGAATTACAGAAGAATCAAACTACGACTATGGCCAAAATTGCACAGTACAAGAGGAAGCTCATGGACCTTTCCCATAGAACCTTACAGGTAGTAATTTGGATTTTTTCCCCCAATACTTATAAGACTGTATACATTATGGAAGTGTTAAATGTGGATTTTTACAATAGAAGAAAAAAAACAGACTAAAAAAAAATAAGAGTAAAACTGAAAGTACCAGACTTTCTCAATAAAACCTAGAAGTTGGAGGAGAGGTCCCACAAGATGGGTGAAGAAAGTGAAAATATTCTAAAATGCACATTTTATTGAGAGGGTGGGGGAAAAGCAGTGGAAAAATAAATCATCTTAGTGTAAAAAGAGCATGCATCAGATCATTAATAGTTTTCAGAAAAACAAAAATGCAGTTTTGATTCTGAGTGTTAGAAAAGGGAGTGCAACCATTAATGAATGAAAACAACGATACAACTTGCAAGTTAACAAGAGGGAATAAAAGAATGAATAGCAACAAAAATTCAAATTATCATGAAAACAAATATTATATACCAGAATCAGTGGGATACAGCAAAAGCTGTACTCAGAGGAAAACTTACAGCCTTAGAAAATCTTCATTTTTTTTTAAGTGCAAATGAAAAAAAATAAAGAACTTAGTATTCATCTTGTTATAAAAATTCTATCAAGAGCTAAAAGAAACCAGTAAGAGAAAAATAAAATGAGTGAAGCAGAAAAAGAAATCATATATAAAAAGTAAACTGCGAAGCTGTTTCTTTGAAAAGACTGTTAAAATGGCTAAACATAACTGAAGAAGGAAGGAAAAGAAGGCTCATCTCATGAGCCTGAAGAAGGAAAAGAAAAATCAAAAGTGAGAAAGGAGACATTACCACAGATATACACAACAGAATAAGAAAATACTGTGTGCAGTTCAGGGCAGTAAGTTTGGAAGTTAGAACATGATTTTCTAGCAAAATTGAAATTACTAAACTTGATCTACAGAGAAGAATCTTACATAGGCAACTACCATAGAAACAATCGGGAAAGCTACTAAAAGTCAACCATGGAAAAAGCACCAAGGCCAGATAGTTTCATTGCTGAATTTTGTCTAACCATTAAAGAGCTAATTCTAAAGTTACTTTATTTCAGACAAAAGGAAAAATATAGACAACTGTTTTGTTTTTTTTAAACAGCTTTACTGAGATATAATTCACATACCATACAGTTTACCTATTTAAAGTGTATAACCCAATGATTTTTATTATATTCACAGTTTGGTACAACCATCACTACAATTTTAGAACATTCTCAGTATCCTAAAATGAAACTCCATACCCATTAGCAGCCACTCCCCCATTTCATCTCAAACCCCTTAGCCCTAGGCAATGACTTTGTTTCTACATATTTGCCTATTTTGGACACTTCCTATAAATAAAGTCATATAATATGTGGTATTTTTTGACTGGCTTTCTTTCATATAGCATATTTTCAAGGTTCATTTGTGTTGTGGCATGTAACAGTACTTGATTCCTTTTTAGGGCTGAATAATATTTCATTGTATGAATATACCACATTTTAATTTATTCATCAATTGATGAACACTTTGGTTGTTTCTACTTTTTGGTTATTATGAATAATGCTTCTATCAACCCTCATGTACAAGAGTTTGTGTGGATGTATGCTTTCATTTTTCTTGGTTATATAAACCTAGGATGGGAATTGCTTGGTCATGTGGTAACTCTGTGTTCAACTTTTAAAGAACTACCAAACTGTCTTCTAGAGCAACCTGACCATTTTACATCTCTGTTTTTAGTACCCCAAAATAAAAATCTATAAACAGCTAATTGTAATAGGGATGCAAATTATGCTAAGTGAAAGAAGTCAGACTGAAATGCTACATGCGGTATTATTCCATTTATATGACATTATGCAAAAAGGCAAAACTAGAGATGGGTAACAGCAGTAGTTGCTAGCAGCAGGAGGTAAGGGGAGAGTGACTACCCTCCCCAGGGTAGGAGGTAACTTTCTAGTGTGCTAGAAATGTTCTGTATCTTGATTGTGTTGATGGTTACCTGTGTTTGTCCAAATGCATACCTGTACACCTGAATTTTGAATTTTGTTGTATGTGGATTATACCTCAGTAAACCTGACCAAAGAAAGAAAATGCAGAAATTCTAAATAAAATATAAGCAAAGAGAATCCAGGTATTTATCAAATTCTAAAGGAGTGCACTTAGACTCAGCAAGGTTTACTTCAGGAATGGAGGGTTGGTTCTCTAACAGGGTATCTATCAACATAATTTATCACGTCAACACATGAAGGGAAAATGTATGATAAAGACTAGTTGCCAAAAATGTACAGCAAATTTTCTAAGAAGCAAAGCAGCAGAATCACATTAAGAAACTAAACCCTGATACCCAATATTATAATTCACTGTTATTGTGAAGGTTTTCATAAATAGAATGAAGGTAGTTAATTAGTATAAACATTGAAAAGAGATCATCTTTTTGCTGACCATTTGGTTGTACATCTAGAAAACCCAAGGAAATAAACTATAGAATTAATGCGGTAAGATAGCTCAATATGAGGTAAATGTACAAAAATCAGTGTGTCTTTATATTATTAATGGAAATAGGAAAGTACTCCATTCAGTATTACGAAACAACTATAAAATGCTTAGGAATAAATTTATGAGGAAAGTACACAGTCTGAATTAAAGTTTTCACAAATAGATAAATCATATTCTTAAATAAGAAAATAGCTACTTTATAAAATTTAAAAATGATTTACAACTTCTAAAAAATTGATTAAAATCATTCAGTTCATAAATAAGGAAAAGTGTTTTGAGAATAACTTCTGGGGGGAACAAAAAATAGTGAAAGGGACTTGCTCTATCAAATTTTAGAACCTATTTTAAAGCTCTTGTAATCAAGTCAATATGAGATTGGAGTAGGATTGGAAATAAAGGCCCACAGAATAGAATGGAGAATCCAGAAATAGGTGCACATGTATCTTAATATAATTCAGTGGGTTTATTTAATAATTAACGCTAGAGTAACTGGCTATCCATCTGGAAAGTAGAATAGAATTAGACCACTGTATCACACCATGTCCAAAAAAGGTGGATTATAGACCAAGAAATTTATGAGGCTACATGTACAACCTAGGGGTTGGAGAGACTTTTGGCCAGAAAGCCACAAACTATAAAATAAAATTGACTATATAAGAATTAGAAAATTTTGTGTAAGAAAAAGATACCAGAAGCCATTTGTCAATAGTCAAGTGATTTCAGAAAAAATGTTGAATTTTCAAAGTGCTGATTTTAGTCATAGTGTTAATATTTATATTACATGAAGAGATCCTATAATTTGACCCCCCCCCAAAAAATGCAACTGAAATATGAGCAAAGAATGTGTAAAGGCAGTTCACAGAAGAGCAAATGCAAAGTAGTTCTTAACCATTAAAAGATGGTCCTTTAACATTTAAGGGAATGCAGGTTTTAAAAAATTTGTGTGTGTGAGATGCCTTTTTACTCATCAGGCTGAGAAAAGTTTAAACATCATCACCTGTTGCTGACAAGAATGTGTGGAAAAGGGTAGTCTTACATGTGGATTATGAATAGAAGATCTTTCAGGAGAGCAATCTAACAGCTTCTGAAGACTGAAAACGTATTTTTAGACCCAGCAATCTCATTCTTGAGGGTCTATACCAGTAAATATATATATCTTTATGTATTTTTATATATATACTTATATATAAATGTTTATTACAACATTGTTCATAGTGTCAAAACTAGAAACAAAATATATGCTTCTCAATATAAGAATACTTTAATAAATTATTAATACATGAAAATTATGTAGTCATTAAAAGTAACATTACTATAACTTGCCTAATAAAAATGGGCAAACATTCAAATCTTGAACTGTTATGGTTCTTACTATTGTTAGTGTATTCAGCTGATTTCTTTCAATAATAGATGTGTAATAAAATTACTTGCATAACTGCAAAGAGATGGCTTCTGTTGATATTGGTGGGTTTTCTTTGTATAGGTGCTAATCAAACAGGAAATTCAGAGGAAGAGTGGGTACTGCCATCCAAGCTGATGAAGAGCAGCTGCGAGTTCAGCTAGATACAATTCAGTGTGAACTAAATGCGCCTACTCAGTTTAAGGTAAGCAATTGTAAGACCATGAAGCTAGAATTTGTTTCGGGTGGATCTGCAGAGAAATGTTAGTCTTCAAAAAGAGGAATTTTGTATACTTGTTTTTATTGAGTATTTGTTCTCTTTAATCAAAACTTCCTTTCTAAAGTAGACTCTTAATCGTGATGTTTGCGACTTGTCTTAATGTTTTAAATAATGTAGAGGGAGAATTAAAACATCTAATTAGAGTAGTGCCCATCCTTTTAAAATAAAACATTCTCTTTTAGAAATGTTTGCTGTTGTGAGCAGTTGTAATTCAATTCAGTATTATTTTAGGGCCGACTAAATGAACTGATGTCCCAAATCAGGATGCAGAATCATTTTGGAGCAGTCAAATCTGAAGAAAGATATTACATAGATGCAGATCTGTTACGAGAAATCAAACAGGTAAGTGTTGCACTAGAGTGCACTTTTAAAAAGGTGAATTCACCACTTCACATCCATTAGGGTTTGTATTATCACCCCCCCCAAAAAAAACCCCAACAGAAAGTAATTGTTGAGAGGATGTTAAGAAATAGAACCCTCATGCACTGCTGGTGGGAGTGTAAAATGGTGCACACAGCTACTTTGGAAAACAGCTTCTCAGATAATAGACATAGGATTACCACATAGGCCAAGATCAAAAGCAGGGACTCAAGTATTTGTGCACCTGTGTCCATAGCAGCGTTACTCACAGTAGCCAAAACATGGACACAGTCTGCATGTCTGTAGATGGACTAATAAACAAAATACGGTATTTATATACAGTGGAATGTTAGCATTAAAAAGGAAGGAAATTCTGACACACACACAACAGCCATGGATGGACCTTGAAGGCATTATATCATGTGAAGTCAGTCAATTTAAAAGGACAAAAGTTGTACGGTTCTACTTTATGGGGCACCTGGAGTAATCCAATTCACAGAGAATGGAATAGCGGGTGCAGAGTTTCAGGTTGGGGAGGTGAAAAAGTTCTACAGATAGACAGTAGTGATTGTTGCACATGACTTAGTACCGCTGTACATTTAAAAATGGTTAAAATGGACATTTTTACGTGATGTATGTTACCACACAAAAACAGTGTTATCATTTTCTCCCCCCACCCTCTAAAAAGATGAATTCAGAGGTAATACAGACACCAAAGTTCCCTTGACCCTGCTGCTCAATGCAGAGGCGGCAGCAGCTCTGAGGTCATTAGAAATGCAGACTTGGTCCTTACTCCAGACCTCCTTAATCTACATTTTTCATGATTGTAGAGTGATTTGTATACATGGTAAACTTTAAGAAGTTAATTCCTCTGTACCTTTCCGACTTGTATGATGCCACATATAAACATGCAATTATTAATCTTGTCAGCCCTTGGGGACCTTGATGGAGGTTGGGGTAATCAAAGCCTCCAACCACCTGTGTGAGGCTCATTTTGTATGAAAAAGTTGGGAAGTACCTCTCTAGTTTATTTTCATTAGTAAATAGATTGTTTTAATAAAACCTGTCTAGCCATTGACTGTATCTTAAAAATATATATTAGGATGGTAAACTCTGTAGAACATACTAGGTAGGATTAACTGGCATGGCAGGTTGGCAAGGCCCTAAAGATTATAGGTGGTTATAAACGTCATCAACAAATCTGATTTTATTATGTTCTGTAGAGTGGATATTGCTGTTTTATGCAACTAAAAGCTAGTTTGGCTCCTAGGTTCTCAGAAAGTATATATACACTAGATTATATTCCATTGTACCAATATTTACAATAAACTGAGAAAAATTCCAGCACATTGGAATAAAGAACTACATGAACGAGTTTCTGTATGCAGTAAAATTGGGAATAATATAAACACCTACCTAAAATGATGAAAAGCAGTATATTGTTTTTGGGGTTGAATCATGGCTCATCACCTAGTTTATGACCTTGGGCAGGTTACTTATCTGTATCTCAATTTCTTTATCATAGAGAAGAGGTAATAATGGTACCCTGAAAAGGTATGTGCTCAAAGGGATTTTAAATGAGTTAAGTTAGTTAATACCCATAAAGCTCTTTAAGCTGCCTTAACACCAGAGAAGTTCTTTTTAAAATGTTAGCAATTGTAGTTCTCACCATTATCATCACTTTATACTTCGTACTTCAAGTTACAGAAATCCTGTTTTCAGAATGATTATTTTGCTAGTCATGTACATTTGAGTACATTCTTGCATTGTTTTCATGTCATACCTTTTCTTTTTTATCAGAGATTGATAAAAGGAATCTAAAAACACCTGCATCTTTTGTAAAATTTGTTGTAGATACTGTTTATTATATTTGATTTTATTGCTTTTTATAGTAGTATTTTACTGTAGATCATATAAGTGTTAGCAAAGATATAGTACAATGTTTAAATATGCATATATTTAGAACAGCTACTAAGTGTTATATTGCTAGAAAAAGTCCTTTTTGCTGTGAGTAGCTTCCAATTTAATGAAGGAATGCATTAATATTTTTTTAATTCCTTCTAGCATTTGAAACAACAACAGGAAGGCCTTAGCCACTTGATTAGCATCATAAAAGATGACCTAGAAGATATCAAGTTGGTAGAACATGGATTGAATGAAACCATCCACATCAGAGGTGGTGTCTTTAGTTGACAGTTCACAAACTTGTGTTAAAGGTTTTTGAAATATATCCTCTTGTTATCAGACGCTCCTTAAGAATGAAACTGACCATGTGGAGGGGAAAAAAAAGAAAACACTCTTCTCTCCTGGCTTGGTTTTTGAGGTCACTGACCAATTATTAATCAAATCTGAAAAAAGTCACTTCACAGCTCTTCAGAGACAGCCTTTGAAAGATTTACATCTAAAAGCTGTAATTACTTTAAAAGTACATAATTACCAAAAATATGTACTATTGTACATTTTTACAGCAGCATTGTTTTAACAATAATCAGTGTTTAATGATTCTTCTTCACTGAGCCTGTGCTTTGCTTTCCATAGCAAGTAAACATGAAATATTTACTTTGCACATAACAAAATAAACCATATAATGACTTGGCTGTTGGAGATTTGTACTTCAGAATGTAAATGTACATCAGTTTTTATATTTGTGAATTCATCTGTGAGGAGAGTCAAAATCCAAGAGTATTTAATGATTAATGTGGTTTTCTTCTCATTCTATAAAGATTTGAAAATATATTTTTATATTATTTTACTTATTTGGAATTTACAGAACACACTTAAGCATTTAGGACATAACAAAACTACATTTTCTCATTTTTGCAACTTTTTTTGTTTTTTAAACCTTTTTATTTCTAAAAAAGATGAAAACTTATAAATAAATGCTTGATTATAATTTTATATACTTCTGTCTGATGCTTTATTTGGCTCTGGGAAAATGACCATTCATGTCCACATAAGTACTGAATCATAATCACAACTTAAGAATTTTAGTCTTAACATGGTTTTAAGTCTGACTTCCCTCCTAAGGAAAGTGTATCAATACTGATACATTTTGACTGAGGTATGGCAAGTGAAACTTACTTCAGATATCATCTAGCATAAAGAATTCTCTAATACATCATTAGTATCTGAAAAGACTGGAAAATCTGAATTAGACATGGTAACGTGCAGTAGTGATTCCTTAACTAGGTAATTTTAAAATTTTTCTGACTACCGAACTGCACACCTGGGCTGCATCCTTTCGGCCCTTCTTGGAATGTTTCAATTTTGCATTTCTGCATAATGCTTTAGCTTATGATGAGCAGTGTTCTAAAAAACAGCCCCGTGAACTCTGCTGCTGTGTTTATTATGAGGATGTTGAGTGTGATGCACTGTATATCCAGAGGCCATCCTCTGAGATCCCACTGAAGGAATTTCTTGTTCAGATGCAGACAAGGTTAATAGTTGTATAGGAGACTGGGTACTTTGAAACTTATTCTATTTCTTTCCATGTTAGCATCTAGAGGTTTGTAGCCACTTTTACAAGTTTATAACATGCAAACTTGTTACACTGTTCTCTGTATCACCCTTTTGTCATACTTTCCTATGCTTTGCAATTCCAACAGCGTTGGGAGAGGATTTTTTTCTCTCCTTGTCTGTTTTCTCCTTGGCCCAGAAGATAAGCACTTCCAGCCTTCTTACTCACGGAGGTGAATGTGGAAGGAGTTTGTCCCTCTGCGCATCCTCTTACTGTATAGAGTTGTTGATGTAACAGGTGAGAATTGTTATTCATTGAACCACATTCTCTACTGGACAGATGGCTAATCATGCAGACCATGGTCACTTCTCTAGTCTTTCACTTTCTGTGCTCTGATATTGTTAGCTTTCTAATTTCACCAGCCCTAGCTTATGCTCGGGATCTGCCTTTTAAAGGCAGGCCCAATTTGCCTCCTAAGTGTTGATCCTTCTGGTGACTACATGTGTAAGTCAGGCCTGTGGTCCTTGTTCATGTAGCTGGTTAGACAACTGGACTTGGTCTATACCTGAAGTGTGTTCCAAGCAAATGGTAACAAGTTCTAGACTTGAGTGGACAGAAGGAAAGACCCACCACTTTGGCCTCAGGACTAAGTTATGTTCTCCAGCAAAATTTACATAAATTCTGTGAACTGGCTAATGGTTCTTGTGGGTAGTCCACTGAAAGTTCTGAATTCGTGAAGAGACGTAATTGGTAGAATTAAAGCACACTGAACCCTCTAAGACCTAGTTTAGATTTTATGTAGCTCTTCTGTACCTTTGAAGGTCACCCTAAGTCCTTTTTGAAACACTGGCAGTGTAAAACAAGTACTAGTTACCAAAGCCCATGCCTAAATCAGTTAACTATTCAACCACAATACCTTGGGGAAAGAGTACTATATTGTATAACCTCATTTTTTCCTTGCTTATTGAGCATACATATTCATTCAGTACTGTCTGCCTTCCTGGGTTAACATGAGGTTCAAGTTGGGAACTGTGTATGTGAAATACTTGGTAAACTGTTGTGTTTGTAGAAATATAAAGCGTTCATATACTGAAGGAAAATGAAGACACTGAAAGAATACACTATTTGAAGACAAAGTGATCCTTTAAAGGTGAGTGGAACACCTTTAAAAATTCAGCAGTTCATACTGGCCATCATTAAAAAGTGTATAAATGGTAAATGCTGGAGAGGGTGGCAAAAAAGGGGAACCCTTCTACACTGCTGGTAGGAATGTAAATTGGTGCAGCCACTATGGAGCTTCCTTAAAAAACTAAAAACAAACTTACCAAATGATCCAGCAGTCTCACTCCTGGGCACATATCCAGCAGTCTCACTCCCGGAGAAAAATATAATTCAAAAAGACACATGCACCCCAGTGTTCACAGCAGCACTACTTACAATAGCCAAAACATGGGAACAACCCAAATGTCCATCAATAGATGACTGGATGGAGGTGTAGTATGTGTATGCAATGGACTACTACTCAGCCATAAAAAAGAATGAAATAATGCCCTCTGCAGCAACATGGATGGACTTGGAGACAGTCATTCTAAGTAAAGAAAGCCAGAAAGAAAAATACCATATAACACTTACATGTGGAATCTAAAAAAAAAAAAAAGACAGAAATGAACTAATTATAACTTAGATGACTGATTTCTTATATATGTGTAAGCACATCTGACTGTCCTTTATGACTGGATTACTGCATTCT